TCAACCACATGTAAACTATCGTGAACACAACCACATGTAAACTATCATCTTGAACACAACCACATGTAAACTATCATCTTGAACACAACCACATTAAACTATCATCGTGAACACAACCACATGTGCAATATGATCTTGACCACAACCACATTAAACTATCATTGTGAACACAAACACATGTAAACTATCATGAACACAACCGCATGTAAACTATCATCCTGATCACAACCACATGTAAACTATCATCCTGATCACAACCACATGTAAACTATCATCCTGATCACAACCACATGTAAACTATCATCCTGATCACAACCACATGTAAACTATCATCGTGAACACAACCACATTAAACTATCATCGTGAACACAACCACATTAAACTATCATCATTAACACAACAACATGTAAACTATCATCCTGAACACAACCACATGGAAACTATCATCATGAACACAACCACATGTAAAATATCAAGTGAACACAACCACATGTAAACTATCATCGTGAACACAACCACATTAAACTATCAGGTTTATGACATTTATATTACACTCAGTGTGGTGACCTTTTTAAGTACACACAAAAATCTTGTTTGGGTTTGTTCATAAATGACCTACCACTCGTAGGGAATTTTGCGTCGTGTGTTGAGGGGGAGGGGGGCCAATAGTGTGACGTTACACTTTTGCATTTAAAAAGTATAGGTAGAAATAAAGTTAGTATCTGAATTACCCTATGTTGACAGAGATTAGCCAATATTTTCGAGGAGAAAAAAAAATCGATGTTTTAAAAAAAAAATCAAATGTAAATATTTTGGGGGGGGGGGGGGGTTATAGGCTGAGTTGTGACGTCATTTTAGGGGGCGGGTCTGGCTTTTTGTGACGGGTGGGATAGGTAGAGGTAAAAATTGCCTAAACAAAAGCGTGACATCTTTTATTTTATGGATGACGCTCTTTTGCGAAACGTGGACGGGTGTAGTTCATCTTGTGTCCATAAGTGCACAAAACTCAAGGAGGACGCAGTTTGATGTATTCAGATTAGAGTACTTAAGCGTTCATTTCAAACTAGTTATTTATTATATTTATACTGGTAGACAAGATTTGTATCGCCTATAAGTCTGCCATATTTTCCTGCTTCTCGTTCTACACATTTAGGATTGATAATGAAAACGAAAATTATCCCTCTCCCCCTTTTTTTTTTCACACCCACGCGCTGTTCTATTTTTAGATCTGGCACAGTTTTTTTCCCCTTCTCCTTCCTTTTGGAAGTGTGGCGTAGGTTATTGGTTAGTATAGGGCAGCTCATTGGCAAAACGGATGCTCTTCCCCCCCCCCCCCTTTCCCGTCATTCTCTCTGTATATTCTGTGATCTGTTGGTTAGGGTTTTATTTACAGTCCTTTACATAGCCGGGTTCATTTCTATTACAGGGTAACCCGTCGTCTGTGGCCCCGGTCTTCAAGCCTATCGATCCCACCCCCTAACCTATTTTTAGCTCAAACTTAGCCTAACAACACCCACCCCCCCTCCCCGTCTAATGAATAACAGTGGGGGGAAAACATCGATATTCTCGATGATGATTGGACGCCCTAAACAATGTTCTTGTACTCCCTTAACTGTGCACAAACACTCCGGTCCGCGTGTATTGGCGCGTATTCTCATTAGAATTGTTCCTACGTGTTTTAAAGTGCGAATGTCTTGCACGTCCGCCCACACAATAGTTATTAACGTTAGTTTCCGTAACCTTTACATGTGCTGTGCGGGGCGTCTAGGCCGAAGGTACAAGTGCAGGTAACGTTTAATTGATATGCTAGTCACGTCTAGCCGTCGAAGCGATTGTTTGTTTCGTTCTTTTAAATTCAAAAGGCTTGAGTTATGTTTTTTATTTTAAGAGGAAATTTTGTCTTCATCTTTTTTTTGCTGAATAGACCCCCATCCCCCCCCCCCCCTCCCTAAAGTTTTTCCACCCTCTTCCCGATTGAAAAAATGATCGGTCTGTGTGGTACTCTCCCCCACCACCTTCTTCTCTCATCTCCTCCATTTGCCCCGGATTTCCTTTAGGTATCAGGTTTTTTTTTTTAAAAATAATGCTACTTGTTTACTTAGAGCAGCCTCCGTACAGAAGGGTCAACTCTAGTTTTATTAAACGTTTAGCCAATGGATGGTGTGTGCGTTGGGGAGAGGGGGGGGGGGGTGTTACCACCCACTCATTGACCACCCCCCACCCCAAAATAACGGTCTCAAGTGTCTCACGTTATGTATAATCTACAGCAAATGGTATGCGTTTATTTATCAAAAAGTGAATTTATTAAAGTGACTCATTTCCCCCCTCCCCCCTTACACACACACAAGACAAAATTAGTATTATCTAAATCTAAATTAAAAATACATAATGATGACTGAAACTTAGGTTAGTTAATATTTTAGAAAGAAATTTTAAAGTTTTTTTGTAAAAGGGGGGGGGGGGGTAAACAGCTATATAGCCTCTTTTTTTATTTTTGATTTGTCAATGAAAGGGTTAAGCTCTGGATTGTGTTAGGGTTAGGCTAGCATTGTAATAAAAAATATATTAAACATCCACTGTGGGTTTTTTTTCTGTACAATAAAATAATCCTTTACATCCTAGTTTATAGTTTGTCATGTAGGCATTTGCTCATTTGCTGTAATTGTAACTTTCAGTAACATTTGGTACCCACATTTGCAAAACAAATTTAAGAGATTATTCACCCTCTTGGTGTTTATTATTAGTTTATTAGACCTTGAAAGAAGTACATTATGTCGGCAACTAAAGAATATATTCAGTCCTTTGTTATAACCAAATACGTTGGACTGAAAAGGTTTACACTCAGATCTATTTTTGTCATTTTATGAACCAGTGTGGTATTCAGCTGTTTCATGAATGGACTGGTAGACTTGATTATTTTGTTCTAAAAGTTCTTATGTTTTGTTTGAAGGTATTTGCAGAGCTCCAAATTTAAAACAACTTGTTATGAAAACCGTATTGAACTTTTTGAGTAGAAGAGGAAAACACCTATTTTTAACGTCAACTGCCATTTATTTTACTATCATATAATACAAAAATTAAACCTAGATCTATATCTTTTATGTATTCAGTAATATCTTACAAAAGGTAATTAACATTTTTGATGTACTTTTTATAAGCCATAATTTAACTTGAAATTTTATACGTTACTTTTTTCTTTTCCCTTGGTGGTGCTAGTTTTCCCTTCCCTCCACCCCTGTGGCTTTACACCCCTTTAAAGCTTTTGGACTGCTCCACCATCTTTTTTTCCACTCAGACTTGTCTGCTGTTTCTTCTATCTTTCATGTCTTTAGCATTTATTTATTCATTATATTTAAATTAATTGAAAATTTGTTTTAATTTCTTGTTAGTGTAGAAGCTGTTGAGTTTAATGTAACACTAGTGTACCTAATCTTAGAGAACATTAGGTGATCATTTACTTAGAACTTATTCTAATTAGCCTCTATTTTCTTAATAATCAAGGTTTTAGCAGTTATAATTTTTTTGGATGAGTGTGACATTTTTATATTTTTAAAAAATGTTATGACAGGCAGTGGGTCATAGGTTGTGATTATTGATTGCTTGGTCACTTGACCAGCACTTGATCAGTGTTTTCTATTGCAAGTAGTTTAGTGGTCAGTATTTCAATTGGTCATTATAGTAAATTCCCATCAAGCTGTTGGTCATTTTATTCAAATCCTGGCCGCCCAGATGCCATCAATCATCGACCACTATCTTTACAGAATCTTAAGTAACACAACTTTTACAAGTCTGATGTTTGCAAACTTTTATTTATTCATCAGGCTCTCTATCTCTCCCATCTCCTCCTTTGTGATCAATTATCTTAGCTTTAAAAATTGGACATTGCTTGTACTACTATAAAATCCAGGCTGAACCAGTTTTTTTTTTCATTAATATTTTCTGTCCTAGAAATAGGAGTCTTGATAGCTTTAAACTAAAATCACATATTCAAACTTGAAACAAAGATTTGTAAATGTCAGCTTTTGTGTGAATAATCAATGAAATGTCAAGAATGAAATAGTTGATATCAAATTTATTTTTTTCCCTTGTAACTTAATGAGCACGTTAATTGTTGAAATAATTTAGTTGTACACTACTTTTTTTTTTAAACTTGTTACTGGATTTTTTTTTTCTAGCCGCCTTTGTTGCAGATTGTAACTTACATTTCTCTTGTTTGTTGATCTTTGTGATGTTCATTTTTTTTCAAACAAACACAATCCAGTGTAACTAGATCTTACAAAAATTAGAATATTCCTTACCAGGGATGACGGATCATAATGCAGAGTCTATGTCTAGTGACCTTTATGTCTGTCCGTTTATTGTCCAGAATGTGGGTGTCAGATTTACAGCGGGTTTAGGCTGACTTCTAACTCTGTTGGTATAGGAATAACTGCTTTACAAACCTACTTTAGCTTGATGATTCCAATAATTCCTTGATTAAAGTGAAGTTCCACTTTTAGACCTCATGATCCTCCATTGGCTGATAAAGTAGAATTCATGTTTCTTGACTTAGACATATAATGGGATGGTGTGGTCAGCATTATGCCCATTCCCCTTTACTTGCCCTAACATGAGTCAGGTACTAATAAGAGCTGAGTGGACTCTGGCATGTCTTGCAGTCTCAAATCTGGACCCAAACTCAAGACTTTGGGATGGTATTTGAACACACTACCACATAACCACTTCATCCCACGCCACACCCTTTTCCTTTAAAAAATTGCAGACTCCTGCATGACATACTGGAACTAGATCTCATTGTCTTGTCTTCAGGTGTTACAACAAAAGGTGTTTTGAATGTTTATTGTTAACTAATCTCACAAAAGTTTTTTTTTTCTAAATTATTATTCTATTCTCTCAAAAAGTTATTAAAAAAATTATTACTCTCATCCACTCACAAATTTAAAAAAAAATTATTATTCTAGGTTATTCTCTCAAAAAAAATTTCAAAATTATTATTCTAGGTTATTCTAGACTGTAGACTAAAAAAGGATATACAGTACACAAAGGCCAACCCAAAATGGCATCATTGGAAAACCGATGAGAAAAGGTATGGCCTTACATTTGAACGCTCAGAGGACGCCAAAGCCTTCGATCAAGGAATCAGGTTTGCTGTTGCTGATCTCACTGAAGGTAGTCCAGATTTTTTAAAATTTTAAAGTAGTAACTTAAAATCTTGTTTGATTTTTTTTTTTTTTTTTTTTAATTTTTAAATTTTTGAAGGAATTTATTTACTTTTGCTTCTGTTGGAATGAGCACTTTTGACCTATTTAGCACCTAGTTAAATGAGCATTCCTTAATATGTTTAGTCTGATGTTTTTAAGGTGTATATACAAATAATTTAGCCACCTGGATACCTGGGAGCTCCCATTTCCTTGGTGCAATTTTGGGTCACAAAGATTTTTTTCCTGCCATTTCATTACATACAGGGAGTGTCATAATTATGTCTTAGATAATTTTGGCGTTCTTAGTTTCAGTTTCAATAATTATTTACTTAAATTTGAAATGTTATTCACTAGTTGGTGGTTATTCTATACTTTATTACTTTATGAAAATCTATTTGACTAAATGGAATGTTATATACTTCTTCAGGGAACAGTGATGGTATAGCACCTGATGGCGATGAAGGAATATTTTCGGTAAATTCACCTGTACATTATTTTTGTCAACTTAAGTATCTCAATGAAATATTCATTCATGCTTAGTTAACTTAAATACACATTATGTTAGAATCCATGTCAGAAAAATTATCCGATCATTTGGCTCAAGGTGAACAAAGAAAAATTTCTGTATAATTCTACTTGTGTGATTTTCTAGCCATCCTCATCTTCTCTCATTTGTGTCCACGAAACATGGAACTGATGCAGTAGAGTTCACCTGTTTCATTGACCTCAACATACAATGGGATAGTGTGGTCAGCCACCTTCCACCTTCTCTCCCCCCCCCCCCCCCCCCCCCCATTAGTCAGGTATACATCGAGCTGAGTGGACTCAAGCTACAGACTTAAGCCTGGGATCTGAACTCGAGACTTTTGGGCTAGCATTCGTATACTCTACAAAACAACAATGAGATTATCTAGTATTGCACTTTTTTCATTAACAATTCTTAAATATTTTAGATGGAAAAATATTAAAACTGCTTGTTTTGTCCACAGTACATGGAGCTGCCCCTGAAGAGAAATGACAGCTCCTCCAGGTCGACCTCTACCACATCAACTACCACCAGTAGTCCAGGGACCAATTCACCACAATCCCCTTTAAACAACAACGACCCTTTCAGTTTTTCATCACACCCCCACACCAACCACCTGCACCGCGTGCACTATATTTCGAACACGCGTGCACCGGCGAGGAACGTCACAAATTGTGGGGTGATCGTGGGGCAGCAATACCAGCCTGGCTCACCTATAAGTGAGAAGAGCAGCCCCCACAAATCAAGTTTTGACAGTAGCTCAGGTCAAGACGATGTGTGGGTGAGAACCTCGGTAGACCCTTCATCGGTCAGCGGGAAATCTGACCAGGGGTTGATAGACTGTGATGGCAGTGGTGGCGATCATGGAGATCTGTACAAAGAAGAGTCCTATGTTGTTTTTAACAAAAACAAGGTTGGATCTCAGCATGAGTATAGTTACCCAGATCTGGAGCCCGCCCAGAAGCCCCCAGCACAACGCAGCAGCACCAAAAAGCAAGCCCTAAACTCGACATCTAGCCAAACAACACAGCCTTACCCCCCGCTCCCAATCAAAAACAAGTCTAAGAGTAAATCAAGCTCTGGGATAGCCGCCGGGGAAGGAGGGAAGCAGGGACAGACTGGTGCACATCGTCGGTTAGTCTCGCCTCAAGTCCAATGCAAACACTGTAGGGACCTTTTCTCTTTAGACGATAACCCGCGGGGGTCCTGTGAGGACGCGCCCGACTCGGTCGAGCGCTGCATCGAGTGTGTAACGTGCGTGTCCTGCACACAGTGTTTAATGTACCACTGCTGGGCCGACGCGGACGGGGAGTTCCGGCACCCTTGCTCCTGCGACCCCGGCGACACGAGTCTGTGTAGGCGCTGGACAGCTTTAACATTCTTATCGCTGCTTCTCCCATGTCTGTGGTGCTACCTTCCCCTTAAAGCCTGCCACCACTGTGGGACCCTATGTGGCCTTTGCGGTGGGCGACACAAGGCAGCATGATCATAGCTTGCATATTATTTTTTTAGAAAACTTCATCTAAAGTGTGTTTTACTTATTTTTTTCAAATACATACCATGTGTCGAGGTTTATTTCAAGTGAGAAAAATTCAATTCCTACTCATGAATTTCGAATTGTAATTGTGGCTGCTAGCATGCAAACAAGGATCAGGCTTTTTTTTTCATCATTTGCTTCATCATACTGGATATATTTTATTCGAGGATCTATGTATGCTTATTATTATGCAAGAGCTGCTTTATGAATTCACAGCCTTTGTCAGTAGTTATTTGCTATGAAATGTTTGTCCTTTTTTTTTTAAAGTTCAAACAGTGAAGTATTATTGGGATTGTGGTGTAGATGAGTTTGTCTTGTCCTAGTGTTTTGTGCTATGTTAAATTTTCTAACGGAAGAGCATTGTTTTATAGTAAAGTTATCAGGTGTTTTTTTTTTTTGTAGGTATTTTGTTACTACACGCAGCAGAATATTTTTTATTTCTTTAAATATATAGCTATCTCATTCACTGCACTGTCAATGGTCACAAACATCTGGGCATAAAGCATTTGAGTCCATACGTGTTGTTTTCTTTCCCTTAGGGACAGATTTCACCATTGTTTATTTAGTGATACTGTTAGTGAAAGCTCAATTTTTTTTTTACCTAAAGGTGTACCTAAAAGAAAACATGCTTTAATGTTAAAGCACCTAGTGTTGGTTTTACAATGTTACATTCGTGAGAAATGTATACTAAAGTACAAATAGTTCTTGGTATTTTAAGAATTAATTTGGTTAATTGTGGTCATTAGTCAAAATGTGTTATTTTGGTCGAGTTTTTCTGCGAACCGTCACAATTGTGCTTAATTTTTTTTGTAATTCTATTTTTCAGGCCTTTAGTTTATGTGCACACATTCTTCTTCTTTCATCAGATTACCAAAATATTTAGAAAATATGCTATTTTACTCATGTCCCTATTAATAATTTTTCATTAGCTTAAATAAACAGGCAGTTTAGAAATCCAGACTATTTTTTAAAAAAAGGATTTAAAAAGTGGTAAGTTCTAGATATAAACATTTTCCTTACATGAAATCTTGATATGATGGGCAACAGATGTTATTACCAAGTAAAATAATCATTTTATATATAATAATAATTAAATCCTTACACAATTTTCCCAAATAATAAATACATTGTAAGTAATTATTATGCAGGGTGAAAATTTAGTACTGAGTTAGTAGTAATGAATTAGATTATAAAAAACTTTAAAAATGGTTGTGTAATTTGAACTACAGAGTTTCTAGATAGCAATTAATTTGGATTATCAGTAGTGTTGATTGAAATTTTTGTAAGTTTACCTGTCAAGACTTGAATACACTTTCTGTAATGTTAACCTGTATTTCTTGTGTCACTGTAAATGCCAGAGATTTAGCCCCCTCACCGTGCCATATAAAAGTAGATACCTACAATTCTAAAGTGTCAAGTTTAAGAAGATGTAAGGGTTGACAAGTAATAAAAATTATTCACTCATTGAAGTCTCACCATGTAGGCCTGTTAGTATTTTAACTCTTCAGTCAATGAAAACTAAAATATCTATTTTTATTATATATTTCAAGGAATTCCTAATCACAATGCACATGGCCATTTGTTGGGTATTTATAGCTTCCAACTAGGTTGTAGTCACAGATCTAATAGCAAATTTGGAGAATAAAGTTATCATTTTAAATTTATTCCTGCTGTTATTCAAATAAATTTCTAAATTTTAATGAAGTCCTTTATCTCTTAATTTTAAATAGACTTGATTATAAATTATTAACTTACTGTGAAATGAAACAAAACTCTACAGCAATAAACAGGGGTTGTGATTTAGATGAAAATAGTCTCTGAGTTTTGAATTGGTTTGATGATAATGGTGTATAATGGGTTTTTTTTATTTATAAATTAATTTGCAGAGAAAAAAAACTTAATTCCAGACAAAACAAAAATCTAAAGTAAGAACAGCAGCTGTCTTTCTTATACCGAAGAAAAAAAAATATTAGCATTAAAGTACCTAATCCATATCTATAGGTAACTCTATGCAGCCCAATTAAACCAAGGCAATCCCACTGTATTTTAGTGTTTCAGTAACGTTTAAAGGGAACTTTTTTTTTAATTAGTGCAGTTGTTTTTTTAAATAATAACAAAAATTACTTACATGTAACATTGCATTTTTCTAAGTTCTAATAACTAAGTTCTAATAATAAAAATCCCAAGTTAATCAAGTAGATTCCGCAAAATATTTGTCTGTGCCATGTTTTGTATACAACACAGAAGACTAGTGACTTCTTATTGATGTAATCCTGTTAGGGTTTTTCCATCCAGGCGGATCAGCTTTTTATATATCTTATATCCGCTACATTTGCAAATTCTATGAATAAAAGTTGTCTTTATATATTACTTAGTTATATAGATTTGTGCTTTCTTTAGTTTCAAAAGGATTTATTCTTGAAAAGGAAGTAACTGTCAATGAAAATAAAATTACAAAACAATTTTTTTAACCAGTTTAGCTTTAAGTGTTTTCAAACTAAAATAGACTACTCAGGCTTGATATCTTTAGCATGGCTTTTGAACCCCCCCCCCCCCCCCCCCCCCCCCCCCGTTTTTTTCTTGAGCAATGTTTGCAAGGAATTTGTGAGTAGAAAGATGGGAATTCAAAAGTAATCCATGGTGGGGGGAGCCAAGTGGTGGACTAGATCAATACTTTCTCATCAGCTTTAAAGGATCAGCCTGCTCATTCATGCAACTGTGTGCTACTGGGGCCTCACACAGAGTTGCTGGTGAATTTTTAATCATTTCTTTTCTCATTGTGGCCAGTTCCTGTTGTAGTTTGACTCAGCTGAATGCTGTACAGCAGGCTGGTTGTTTTGTTTTTTTTTGTAGTTGGTCACCTCTATCCTTCCCCTAAGCTTGACCTGTTTGCTGTAGATGTTCTATCTAAACATTACCAATCTCCAAAAATTCTTTTTTTTTTTTGGTCCAAATAGATAGTACATTTTTGTTTATATTTTGAGATTTTTCTTTAAAACGAAAAACACATTTCAAACACATAATGCTTAATTACTGCATACTCGCATATGCTAAAATTACTTCACTAGAAAAGCTTTTTACCTTTTCTACCCTTTTTGCTTTGCTTTCTTAACATAATGCAACTTTAATTTACATGAAAAATCATAACAATTGTAAAAAAACACCAAAACAATTGTTCTTTTCTATTTATAGACTCAGTCTTTATAAGGAATGTTTAAATATAATGTAAAGAAATGCAATTTGTTTTACAAAATGGGGTGGGGGTTTCTGAGTGAACAAATTTCAGTGCAGTAGGTCTAAATGTTATCTTGATTAAATAAGTAGTGGAAGCATGCAGTTTTTTTAAAAGAAAATTTTTTTTCCACACAAAACAAAGAACAAGGTGTCATCTCTCAATGACATTACACTTGAGCATTTTACAAAGTTAATTTTGAAACTGAATTATGCAATCATTTTGGGTATTAAGAAAGCAAACTGTTAATTGTAGTAAAAATGTATCAAAATATATCATGCAGGAGGTAGGCTGAAGAATGAAGGCATTCTACAATGGGAGGAGTGATGAGTAGATGGCATAAGGTAGTTTATGGGTGACCCTCCCCTCCTCTCCCCCCCACCTCCTATCCCCCCTCCCCCAATCCATATTTCTATTTAGCAGGCACTTAAAATTGATAAAACATGTAGCAAATTATATTTTTATTCAGTCGTGTAAAATAAAGGTTTTTTAAGTTTACTTTAAGTAGTAAATAAAATTGTATCATGTTGGTAAACTGACTCTCTAGGATAATTGTGATGTTTTGACCAAAGATCTTTATCACCACACACTAGTGAGTTTAAAGTACACACATAGGCTGCTTTCAGAAGAAAAAAAATCCAACCTCTATAAAACAAGTTGGCTTCAATAATTAATGATGTCACACAATTTTATAAGTCTATTTTTAAATTAAACTTAATAATATTGGGACATTAAGATTAATTACAGTACTTTTGCTGTTTATTTTTCTTTAATGAACTTCTAATATCCTGTTTATTAAATGCTTTAAGATCCCTTTGGTGGAATGAATATATCTAGCTTTGCAATGTTCAAACCAATTATTAAACTACCTAGGATTTGTTTTTAGACTGAAGATTTTCATCCTCAACCTACGCGTATAATCAGCAGTTTTCAATGAATTACAATCTGTTATGAAAGCTAATTATATATAATCAGCAGCTTTTCAATGAACTGCTTCAGATATGGAAACTTAATATCATAATCAAACCAGTAATAAATGTTATTTTTAAAAAAAATTAAAAACCTAAGTTTTTCTAACCCTATCTATTTTTTTTAATTACTGGTGTTCAAAACTGTTAAATTCCAATTAGTTAACTTAAAGCCTTTGTGTCAATATTTATTGATATGTCAATCAGAATTTATGATGGTGGCCATATACAATTTTAATTAGACTTTTCTGTCAACATCAGCATTTCACTTTTTTCTATTGATCTGTTCTAAATTTAGAAAATAAATAAACTTTAATTACTACAAATATTGAATATAAAGTGGTTGTTCTAAATAATTTTATTTTGTACATTCTCAATTTTTGTGTTAGGCCTGTTCTGTGTGTATGATATATAAATAGTTGTCTTAGTCTTAGTATATTTAGTATATGTGTATATATCTATATACACACACGCGTAACACACCCATAATATTCTGCCAGACGATTATGAATTTAAAAATACTAGTAACAGCGGTTTATGTATTTTTTAACTGTATGTTATTTCTTTGTATGTTTCAGTCATTACTGTTTAATGTTTTCTTTTTTTATTTCTTACCTATCCCTCCAGCATAATTGTGTTTTCAAACTGCAAATGCAAACATTGTTATTCTACTGAACTCGTAAAACCCATGCCTTATTGTGCCACATTTTGATGTAGGAACCTAATGATCATATCGATGTTCATGTTGAACTATAATAGTTTTAGTAGCTAGTAGACCTGGGGTTAGTTTTCAAACAAGTAATGTGTACCAAGTTACCTGGAGTTGGTATTTATATGTAAGCAAATGTTGTGGTTTTATGTTATTTTTTTTATTTTACTTTTTGTAGAAAAACAATCTTCGCTGTAACTTGCTAGTAGTATTTTATTTTATAAAGATTTAAGTATAAATTTAACACGTGTACAGCTAGTGAATTGGCAGTAGTGAAAAATGTTTTTGTTTTACTTTAAAGTAAAAGAAAATTCAACTTTTTAAATCACACTTTGCCTTGATGTGTATGACTCACTAGATTTGATCTTGATTTTTTTTTTTTTTTTTTTACATTTGAAAGTATCATAAGAACAGAGGGGAAACAAAAGATGCAATATCTTTTTTATTTTAAAAGTTATTTTGACCATCATCTTTCAACTGTTTAAAAAAAAAACATTTCTTTGTCAATGATCCTGATGAAAATGATTTCCTCTCTTAAATGCCTTTTTACTTTACGTAATCTTTGTGATGTCAATGAAAACCTACTTTCAGTAGTACAAAATGTTCTCATGCCCGGGCATGAAATATTTTTTATATGCAAAGAATAAATGCTGCATGTGATAAAGCAGGAGCTCATTGCTGGTTTACATGGTCCATTAAGTTTTAAAACATTCAAAATGCTGGAACGTAATTCTGTTTTTTACCATCAACTTCGTCACATTCATTTACTACTCTGCTGCATTCTTTTGAATTAAGATTATTTTTTTTTCAAGTCTTAAGGTGTTTTGTGTTTCTTTTCTACCGATATAATTTGTTGCTATGTGTACATGTTAAGTGAAGTCTAGTCACACGTTTTTTTTTCTTTCCTTCTTTTTTTCAATTGTTAATGTGAAACTCTTGTTTCTTGATTGCTTGAACTTACAGCAAATAATACAAAACAATTGTCATAAGTTTTAGAATGTTAGTTGAAATGTCAGCATCATGACATATAATGAAACCAGTGTGACTATGTTATAATAATATAATAATTTCATCTTCATATCAAGCATATCACAAATTTTAAGCATTCATTTTTTTTTTATGTTTCTTCAGTTTTATAGTTAATTGTTTTTATAGACATGGAAGAATAAAATTATTTTGGGTGTGTATTTCATTTAATTAATATGTTTATAACAGAAACTTAGATTTTATTTTTTAATAAACCTAAAAGAATCACCTATTTAAAAAATTAATGTGCAGTATGGCCGGTATGGTTTTATATGTATCTTTAAAATTGTACAATGGTTATTATTCAGCTGAAAGTGTTTTGTCTTTGTTTACTGAAGATTTTATTTATTTATAAGGCATTAAAGTGGCAAAGCTTTTGAATTTGGTTGTTATTTTTTATTTCTATATTCTGTACAATTTTATTTTTTTTAAAAAATTTCGTTGTGAATAGCAAAGTTGGAAACAATGACCTAGCATTATGCTCTATAGCTTCCCTTTGGTGTATAATTTCATGGTTTTTTTTTCTTTTGATATACTTTAATTATGGGTTGTGCCATTTTCTAATGTATATTTTATTGTAGTTTTCCTAATCATTAAAATAGGACTTAAAATATTTTTCTCACTCAAAAGAACTATTTGTAAGCTCCTGCTTAACGTGTGAGCTAATCTAGTTTGTGTTTAAAGATTAGACATTAAAATATGTATTTTCTACACTTCTATTTCTTTTTGTTGCCTTGAGTGCATCTACTATGTTATTGGTTTTTTTTTAACTCCATTTCATACTATTTGAGATATCTGAAGCAAAACAAAATTCATTATAAATTATTGAACTTCAGTCATTTTATTATTTTTTGCCCCGGAAAATATTTTTAATTTAAATTCCGAAAACTATACTGTTTGCTGTTA